AAACAAGCTTCCAAGAAACCCAACTCCCCAGTGAGTCCCAGCTCCTCACATGGACCATTGGTAAGGCCCAGAGGGACAGAGACGCTGGGCAACTTCGCCAAAGACACGCCACTAGTAAATGGAAGGGTCAGGATTCACACCCAGACAACGTGATCACAGAGCTGGTTCCCAGAGCCCACACTTCACAAGGGGCCTGGACTCATGGCCCAGAGTCGTGTCCATCGTCGATGACTCCACAGTTCAGCGAGATCGGTGGCGGGGAAAGAGGGGAAAGCTGACAGAAGCCACGCCTGGAAGAGCAGGTAGGATTCAGGGAAGGGAAGGGAGGGGGGCAGGGTGCCGATGCACATGCTACTTCATTGATCACTGAGCAGGTCTGTTCGGCTCTGAGTTGACACAGGAAAGAGATGATAGTAAAAGATAGGTTTGGGGGCCCTGAACGCCAACCTGGATTAAATTCTAGAGACTTCAAGGAGTTCACGTCTACCTTTTCCAATTTGCCTCCCACGTCATGATTCTTTGCATTAACTGTAGGGAAGGGGATGTCTCTGCAGCGAGACCTGCAAATCTGACAGGAAAATGCAATGCATGAAGCCCCAGCAGTGCCTCAGCCAGGGCCCGTCCCCCGGGAGGGGCAGAGAGGGGAGGGCCAGCGGCATGGAAAGGGAGCCTCTGGGGCACACGTACACCCCATGCTCATGGATAAACGAGAGCAGTGGCAGCAAGAGGGTAGGACGTTACAGGGGGAAACCACGAGAACCAATAATCCAAAAATCTATAGTAATAATAAAAGCATAATATCTAATTAGACCGGACATCCTCCCAGACAAAGCCAGGGCTGCGAGGGAAGCCTGGGTCCCGGGTGCCAGAGGGAAGCCGGTGCTGGCAGCCGGGGGAAGGAAGGCCTACTCTTGCACGAATTTCGTGCATTGGGCCTCTAGTCTTTTATAAGGTCAGATGGTGGAATTTGGGCTTCAATTATTTATCCATTTATTGAGAAAACATGTATTCATGATGTACCCAATGCCAAGTGTTGTGTTAAGATTTAAAAGCAAATACTCTGAGCCTGGCTGGCGTGGCTCAATGGTTGAACATTGACCTATGAACCAGGAGATCACAATTTAATTCCTGGCCAGGGCGCATGCCCATGTTGCAGGCTCAATCCCTAGTGTGGGGCATACAGGAGGCAGCTGATCGATAATTCTCTCATCAATGATGTTTCTATCGCTCTCTCCCTTCCTCTCTGAAATCAATAAAAACATGTTTTTTTTAAAAAAATAAATAAATAAAAGCAAATATTCTGATACACTGGTCATACTCAGACCTCCCAGGTGAACAGTTAGGTCCCACTGGCAAGCCCGCACGTGGGAGCAGCTGGAGAGCCATCCCCCCACATCCCCCCCCCCCAAAGGGAGTCCCTTCCGGGGGTCTGGGCAGCTGTGTATGTGCATGATCTGAATTTTAAATCATTTCTCCTCCCCGAAACTTGAGTTTGGGGAAGAGATATCACTTTAGCCTACAGATTAGCCATCAGAGAGAACAGTGTCCAAGTGTCGCCAAGCAATCAGCGAGCAGCCCAGCCCAAACCTTCCGAGAGTCGGCTTTGAAGAGAGGCCGCAGCCCTCAGCTCGCCCAGGACAAACTCACTTTCGCCTGCACACGGAAAGGCAGGCGACGCCTAATTCACTGAATCCTGTATATTCCCTCTCGTCTGAGGAGAATAAGCCATTATTTCTACTCAGAGTGTAGAAGTCTAATAATGCCGATGAGTTATACCTCCAAGTGCCCTAGAGCACGCTGGGAATTCAGTGACCTGCCACAGAGCCTGTGGACAGCAACGTCCTGAGCTTCTGCCCCGTAGAGCTCCTCAGCTGCCCTAACGTCCGGCCAAGGTGAGGCGACAGCAGGTCCAAACCGGGAAGAGGAGGTTTCGACGGGAGCATTGTGGGGTTTCTGAACAGCAATAATTGTGCTCGCTCAGCCACTTCCATCTCCGGAGCTCAGGCCTTTAATCAGTTCTCACGGAGATCTGGAAAGTTGATCCCCTGGAAAATGGCTCCCCAAAAAGTGGGTCAGGGAGAAGCTGGCGGCTTGGCCCAAGGCTTACCGCAAAATCCCCCTGAGAATTGAGGGCAGAGGTTTCCAGTAGGTTCCATGGCCCGAGAAGCCTGCCCTCCTCCTTAAGTTACCCAGGGGCTTTCCGAAAGTCTCCGCATCACCATAAACTCAGGTGTGGTTGAAAGGGCTTGTCATGAACAACAAGACCTCCATTTCCCCTTTATGGCTTAGAAGCTATTTCAGGAACTAAGGAAAAGAAACAAATATTGTAACAAAAGATGCTCCCATTGCTCTCTCATCACTCAGGAAATGCCAAGGGGTCCTGGGGCCTGTGAGCCAGAAATCGCGGATGAAGACCAAATGTATATTTCTTATGATAAATCCCAATATCACTTCACCCATCCCTCCACCCTTGAGTCAGGAATTCGGTGTGTGACAATGGAAACGGGGGACTTTTAGGAATGAAAGAGCTGCACTTCGGTTTAATTTTGCCAGAACTCTACCTGGCACACGGCTGCGTGGGCTACAGAAGCACATATGCGGACACCTGAAGGGACTGTCATATGCGTCTGTATTTACAGCATCAGCAGCGTGCCCGGCATATGGCAGGTGCTCGTTATATGTGTGTCGCATGACTGTGGGGGTCTGGAAGGCTTCGTGATAGAGGTGACATTGAGTCAGGCCTTGAAAAATCACTGAGGAGGACTGTGACTGAGGGCAATGGGCAGGAAAGGCATGATAAGCAAAGGGCAAAAGAACAAAGGCATGGAGGTGTGGCAGAGAGCAGCGCCTGCAGGAATGGGGGGAAGGCCGGCAAGGTAAGCTGCGGCGAACCCTGAAGGGGGCTTGATCGATATGCCAGAGAGCTGGGATTTTCATAGGAAGGAAGTAGATGGGTGACTCAGGTTGAAAACAGTGTGCTTCCGGTGTTGTCATATAGATTAACACTTTGTTGGCCTGTACCAGATTCGGGGGGGAAGCCAGCATGGTTGAGGCTCTTCCCTGACCTCTTGAGACATGTCAGCAGGTGCAGCTGAGTCCTTCCCATTCCCAGACATGGCCCTGGGTCCTATCCTCATAGACTTCCTGCCAGGCCAACCCACAGGGACATTTCTGAGACCCCCGTGTCCTCAGCTTACACGGAGGCTGAGGGAAACAACACACAGCCAGTCAACGAGGCCGCAAACTCGGAACAGTCCAAAGAAACGCGTCGCTACCGAGAAATGCTTCGTTTTTTCCAAAATGGTCGCTGCAAATCAAAATGCTGAATCATGTACGGCCAAAATAATAATAATCATCAAATGATAAGTACGCCTGTTCATCAGATGTGAGTTCTGCCATCCTGATGACTACCATGTGAACGTTTTCCCCAGTCTTTGTTCCATGACAAAAAGGATCAGCTTCCCGAAAAGGAAGGGCTGACATCAGCACTTTTTCTCTTCCTTTTAATGAAACATTGCCTTGGTCTGGCATAAAGGGCTCGTGATAGCACCAGTTATTTTGTTTTTTTTCCTGGTCCCCAAAGAAGGCTTAGATCCGGCTTGTTGAAGATCAGGAAGTACCTTGCTAACGTCAGTATCGCCAGGCATAGCATTGTCTCTGAGTGTCCCATTATTCTAAGGACGTTCAAGGACACATCAGACGTGCAGTGCTCAGCGAGGTCATGTGCCTCTATGCGAGAGAAATGGGAGGATTTTTTTTCCTATGCCATTGCCCTGTTCATCATGCCTCTGTTTTAAATGAGAAAACTGGATACAAACAGAGCCGGAAATTCTAATAAAATAGTTTTTAAAACATTAATAATGACGGTAATGTCAGCGATACCAGTGTACAAAAAAAAAATCTCTTTTAAAAACTATCCACTAAATCTAATGGAAAAAAAATAAACTGACAAAAAAAATAGATTCAGGGACATGGAAGCATAAAACAGACTGATGAATCTCAGATTAACCAAAGAATTTATATGCATATATGCATAACCCATGGACACAAACAATAGTGTGGTAGGCTTGGAGGGTGGGGCAGGAGAGGGATTGGGGGGGGGGGGGTTAATGGGGGGGAGGAGACATCTGTAATGTTTTGAACAATAAAGATAAATTTTTAAAAAACATAGAATATTAATCTTATAGTGCCAGAAAGACCTTTGAAATGAGATCTTTTTTTATTTTATTTTAATTTTTTTTTAATCCTCACCTGAGGGTTACAAGTGAGGCTCATGCGGTCATGCAGGAGTTGGGGAGCCCAGCATGAGCAATCCAGAAGGTACACAGACTGCAGGATGCAGTCCAGAGCATCACGGGTATGGGAGCAGGGAGAGCTCTAATACCAAGTCACGTCCTCATTCTCCTTTTACGAAGTCTTTTCAAGTTGAGCCCTTCCTTTCCCTCTCCACCGCCACTGCCCTGAACCCAAGCTCCACTACACTGAAAGTAGGCTATTGCTATCACCTCCTGTTTCAGGGTATGTGTTTTTTAACCAGGGAATGAAACAAGATGGTTGAAAAGCTTTTTCCAAACATGGATTTCCGGGGCTCCACACCACACCTCCTGAAATGGAACCTCCACTGGCAGCAGAGGGTGGTGGGGGGAGCGGCCTGGGCAGTTTAAAATGCTCCACAGGGGTCTAACCCACCTCCGCATGGCACAGCCTCCCCAGTTAACCTCCGAAAGCACCTCTTTGATGATGTCCAAAACCATCAGAAGCTCCCGGTACGGAACAAGATAGTTGCCAGTTGGTTCTCACCCACTGCTCCCCAGGTGCAATTCAGACCTGCTCCCTCCCTCTTCGGTAGCTCAGCCACATGGATCCACGGCTGGCTGGCTGGCTGGCTTTCGGCCCTTGCGGGGGACTCACACCATCCCCTCACCTGGTATGGCCCCTCTCACCCCAACACCCATCATCCATCACTCCCTCCCAGGACCTCCCAGTCCCTCCAGACTCACCTCAAGGCCTGCCTCCAGAAAGCCTGCTCTGGTCTCTCGTGACCCTGTCCATGGCCGAAAGCTTCGATCTGTCCTTCGATCTGTCCTCGGAATTCTTGGAATTCTCACGGCGCATTGTGTGTGCCTGGGGGAGGTAAGCACATAGTCTAATGGAGGGCGGATGTCAGAGCAGAGACTCAAGTGACCCAGAACAGTTTCTTTAAAGTTTCATGTTTTTAAAAATGTATGTGCAGCCGAGACCGGTTTGGCTCGGTGGATAGAGCGTCGGCTTGCGGACTGAAGGGTCCCAAGTTCGATTCCGGTCAAGGGCATGTGCCTGGGTTGCGGGCACATCCCCAGTGGGAGATGTGCAGGAGGCGGCTGATCGATGTTCCTCTCTCATCGATGTTTCTGGCTCTCTATCTCTCTCCCTTCCTCTCTGTAAAAAATCAATAAAATATATTTTTAAAAAAATGTATGTGCGTGAGGTTTGAATTCTTCACAATCTATTTATGGAGGCCACCGACCTGCCCCACCCCACCCCCAGAAGATGTGCCGTGTTTACTGTTACCCCCGGCACATACTCCCTACCCCAGTGATGCATCAGTAACACAGAGAGAAGGGACTCAACAAAGATGTTTGAAATAATGGGTAGATAAATGAAAAAATCAAGTCCAATTTTCCTCTGCTCCATTGTTGTTTTTTAATTTTTTTAAAACTTTATTGTTAAAAGTATTACAGACTTCCCCTTTTATCTCCTTTGACCCCTTATAGCCCGCCCCTGCCCCTCAGGCCTCCACCACCCTATTGTCTGTGCCTATGCGTGTATGCATACAAGTTCTCTCTTCCCACCCACCCACCCCCACCTTCCCTCTGAGATCCCACAGTCTGTTCCATGCTCCATTGTTAAGAGCAGTGTAGCCCTAACCGGTGTGGCTCAGTGGATAGAGCGTCGGCCTGAGGACTGAAGGGTCCCAGGTTCGATTCCGGTCAAGGGCATGTACCTTGGTTGCGGGCACATCCCCAGTGGGAGATGTGCAGGAGGCAGCTGATTGATGTTTCTAACTCTCTATCCCTCTCCCTTCCTCTCTGTAAAAAATCAATAAAATATATTTTTTTTTAAAAAAAGAGCAGGGTAGGCACAGGGCAGCTTCCTAACCTCCACCTCTAGAGACCTGATCATCTCAGTCTTCAGCAAAACAAGGGCCTCTGCTTAGCAGGACTCGCCCTCCTCAGAAGTCCCCGGGAACACCTTCCGCCTCCTGAGCAAGTCATCTGGGGTCCCCTACCCTGACCTCAACAGGCTTCTCCCAATCCGCCTTCCAAACGCATCCTGCCCCTGGGTGAATAAGTTTCTTCCATTTCATGACTCATATGAGTAGGGAGGAAGCTCGGCAGTGATTCACCCAGGTATTTGCACTTCAGATATTTCAATATCCATCACCACTATTTTACTAGTAGATTAAAAGCCAGCCAGTGTGGCTCAGTGGTTAAGCACTGACCTCATGGTTTTATTCCCACCGGGTTGTGGGTTCGATCCCCAGCGTGGGGTGTGCAGGAGGCAGCTAATCAATGATTCTCTCATCGTTGATGTTTCTACCTCTCTCTCCCTCTCCCTTTCTCTCTGAAATCAATATATATAGTTTGTAGCTATGTCCGGATGAAAAAAGTATTATGTCTTGTTCTTTTCTATTTTTATGTAACATGCTTGTTGCAATCAAACCCTACAAAAGAACACCTAGCCACATCCATCTCTACCTGCATTTTTTATGGTTCTATTAAATTTATTGGGGTGACATTGGTTAATAGGATCATACAGGTTTCAGGTGTCTCCTATATTTTTTGAGGCAAGTACAAATACTTGCCTCTAAAACTTTATATTAATATACCAGCACACTTCAAGGCCTGGCCAGCTGTGGCCAGACATCACTATAAAGGGCAGTGAAAAGAAATCAATAAACCAGGACCTGCTGGTGGAGGCACAAAGAGAGGGGAGAAAGGAACCCCAGGCCCTCAGCTTTAAAAGCAGAAAAGCCCCAGAAAGTGCTAACTTTATGAATGAAAATGCACGGCTCACCCAGAGAAGAACCAGTTTCCTGAATTCTCCCATGCCCCTCTGCCCAGTTACTGATGTCAGTGACACCCGTTTTGTGCACCACTCCCCACCATCTGCGCAGGTAAATGTTCAATGTTGCTGCTGGTCTGTGCACCTCATTCCGGAGATGTCAGAAGGCACCCGGACAGGCAGCTCCACCGACCTCCTCTGCAGGCTCCCCGAGTCCTTATCCCATTGTAATTTGGTTCCAAACAGTCTGTCTCTCCAATTCTAGGTTTCTGAGTGACTCAAATGTTATCCCTAAAGATCCTCAGCAAAGCACGTGAGCTGAAAATGACCTGAACAAATCCTCTTCCAAGAAGAGAAAAATGATGCCTGTCACCTTTAAAAAGCCAACCAGTCAATAATAGAATCACAGGCTCATAAAGAAGACAATTATTTTTCCCCCCGTGATGCAAACCAGAGCATTGTTTTCAAAAGAGTGGTACAATTTACTCCTCTGACATCTTCACATTAGATGCTGTGGGCTTAGCGGAGTCTCAAGAGCTAGGAGTATTTTGTTCTGTGTCTGGTTATTATTGTACCAGTGAAATGTCAGATTAACTAGCGGATAGTAGAGACCCGTGAAATTCGGACACAGAAGTTCAAGGTTTTTACCAGAGGGGAAGCAGGGAGTAAGGAAGCGGGAGCCATGATTTCCAATATTTTCCCTATGAAGAGGCCCTGTTTAATTTCAACGAGTTTTAGGGCGCTGGTTAAAGATGGCAGAGAAAACACAGCCACCAGCCTCCGCTCCCACAAAAATGGAAAAGAGACCCTACAACTCTGCTTTTCTCGTTCCAAAACCATCATGAGTTTGGGTGGGGAGGGGACACACACACATACCAGCTTTTATTATTTCATCCAAACAGCCTTCAGAGAAGTGGCAACCAGGTCTGAGATAGAGACGAACAAGAGAAATGTCTGAGTTAATTAAAACCAAGAGGAGAAAAAACCAGGCCAGGCAAGGGGATGTGCTTTCACTGTGGTTGGAAGAGGGAGGGAGGGAGGGAGGGAGGGAATGAGCAAAAGAAGGTGAGCTGGCCAGACCTCAGCAGTGTCAGGGAAGCAAATGACAACCGAAAGGGTTCATTAATTCACTCAAGGATTGAGCACCTGCTGTAAGCCAGGCTCTGTGCTGGGGAAAGTAAACGCAGTCCCTTCCTCGTGGAGAATACAGCTCAGTGAGGGAAAGAAAGAAGCAAACAGGTGATAAATGATGGGGCAAAATCAGTGGGGGCGGCCACATGAGCACATAGCACCAGGCCTGGGCACGAGAGCAAACAGAGAAGGCAGGAGTCAGTGCTGGGGTCGCGCTCTCCATGGCGTGAGCCAGTGATGGCGAACCTATGACATGCGTGTCAGAGGTGACACGAGTACTCATTTTTGTGGTTGATTTTTCTTTGTTAAATGGCATTTAAATATATAAAATAAATATATCAAAAATATAAGTCTTTGTTTTACTATGGTTGCAAAGATCAAAAAATTTCTATATGTGACACGGCACCAGAGCTAAGTTAGGGTTTTTCAAAATGCTGACACGCCGAGCTCAAAAGGTTCGCCATCACTGGGCCGTAAGCCCCCTGGACAAGCCCGGGAAACGCTCACAGCCTCAGCTGTAAGAGCGGAGGGAGCCTCAGGACTCAGGCACCGTGCCTGTCTCCCACGTGGCTGCAGCTATGATGCAGGCTGAGAGGAGTTGCTGTGACATGACAGGGACTCAGGTATGCAGCTGGACAATAAAAACTGAAGCTGCAATGATGAGATTTGTTTAAAATTTCTGCAAGAAAAAACCGTTTGCACCGAGTTCCCCCTCAGTGCACACACATACGCTCAGGTCTGCTGTCCCTAAACACACACACACACACACACACACACACACACACACACACGACCCCTGTTGTACATAAGAGGCGCCCCCAAGCATCGTAAAACCATTCTTGGGGAAGGATCACCAGTGTCATAGCCTGCCTGTTGCTCCTGAGAAAATTGCTCCTGACAAATTACATCAACCGGACTTTTCAGCTCCAAATTGTAAGATGTGACTCAGGAGGACCCTGATGCAGTGGGCGATGTGTCCACCACTTGTTTAGTCCACCATCCACCCTCCCTGTCCAGCACCTCAGCTGCTGCGGGCTCTCCTCACCAGAGACCTGTCAGGAACCACTGAGCCATAGCCACCCAGGCGGGTCTTAGGTTTTCTTTCAACTCTAAGTTTTCCTCCTGGCAGTCAGAGGCACCTTGTGCAGGTGCCACCCAGGCCAGGCAGCAGGTGCAGTGCAGGGAGGTGTGCAGGGAGGTGGCTCTACATCTGTGCTTAGAAGGAAGGGCCTGATGCTCACACATCCACGTGCTCACTCCCCGCCCCAATTAACTCTAGACTTCCCAGAGAACCAAGTAGTAACGTCTCCTCTTAATTCTATTCAGCCTCTGGCCACATGGGTCCATTTGGTGACTTCCTACCTTCTTCCAATGGGCCCTTGACATTCGCTTTGGCCTGATCTCACGAGGCTAAAAATGCTGGTTCGTCAGGGACAGGAGTTGAGAATGGGAAGCAGAGAAAGTTTATACTGTGATTTGTCTTGAAGTCTCTTCACGCCCTGGTTACAGCCTTCTGTCCAGAGACGGTCCTGACAGAAATAATAATGGATTCTTTTCCTAAAAATAATCAGTGTCATGGTTCAGGCTACATCATTCTCTGCTGTCGCCTTAGAAAACTAGAGGTATGTTCCAAACTGGTGGTGGCCGTTTCTCCTGCCACTTTGTGCCACCAGTGCCTTGCGCACAGCAGGCACATGTGAACGTTTATTGATGCTACGTTATGGACACTCAGTTCCAGAGTCTGCGTGTAGAGAAGAGAAAGTTTCAAGAAAGCAAAGGTCTAGAAGCACCAGCCTGGACTGCCCCATATAGGGCACACCTCCCCATGTGACTTCTCCAGGGAGCCCACCCAATGAAATCAAACACCAATAACATAAATATGACTCCCATCCTCTAGACCCTTTCAATGTGGGACCCCCTTCCTCTCTAGGATCCCATGGGGAGATCCCGGTGGGAAAAACACACTTTCATCCTATAGATTTTGTTTGAGGTCCCCTCCTTTCTGTGGGAAGACGTCATTCGGCAGCAGAGACTTGGGGGGACCAGATGGCTGGTAAGCAAGAGGCTATTCTCAATCCAGGGCCAAACAGGAGAGCTGACAGCCAGAGCCTAAATTTAGTTTGCAACCTGGTACCCAACAGTATAAAGTTAGAAACTCCCTTGAACCATCTGGCTCTCTTCAATAAACACCTGTCTGTCCAATCCTAGAATGGAAAGAAACCTCAAAGTCTAGCTCCCTTTCCAGACACCACATCTGTGCTATCCATGGTGCCTGGATGCTGCAGCCACAGGAGATGCTTAACATGTACCAGTGGACTGAGCCTGGATTAATGGCCGCCAATCCTAAGGATCTTAAAGGTCTTTGGACTTTTTCTGATTCCACACCTCTTTTGCTCTCCCTTTTCCCTCCACCAATTTCTTTTTTTCATTACCCTACCCGTGGCTAGAATGAACACACACACACACACACACACACACACACACACGCCGAGTATGTAGCCCTATCTAAAATGTCTCAATGTATCACTGTCCTTCTGCCAACCCACTCATAACAGTCTTCCCTTCTCGTTGACATATACCTCTTCACTTTTTAATCATCTCTTTCTCCTTTAACAGCAATGCAATTTATCTGTAACCCCTAAAAATCAACGTTCCACCCCCTCTGTGAAGTCACCATCCCTAAAGATTAAGAAATATGCTGTCACCCAGACCAATCAATGCTATCCCCCCATTTCCAATCACAAGTAAGTTAATTTCGTAATATAATGAAGCATTTTTATCTCTCTTTTAAAAAGACAAAAGAGGTGGAAAACAGAAGGTATTATTAATAGAAACATCCTTTGCTGCAAACCTGTTTGCTAACACCCCAACTGCACAGAATCCAGCTGCCTCTGCCTCTGCCCCTGCCAGGGAAGGGCTCCCTTCTCCTCACCTGCCTGGTGGTGGGAATTGCCAGCAAGATGGCATCGTGACTCATACTGGCAAGAGACGAAGGATGGTTCATTTAACCAAGGTACTTTCGGTGCCACCTTGCAAAGTGTTTCAGTACTCTGGTAATTAATGGGGAAGCTGGCAGGCACTTTTTCATTCAAAGACACTTATTTCTTAAATAAAACGACGTGCAAATGTTAACATTTATTAATTACTTGACTAGCTCACAGCAGGATAATTAACTGACTTCAAAAGCTGAAAAGGAGACTGCCATCTTTCAGGAGCTGCAGCACTGGGTGCAAATGAGAGCGTGAAGCAGGAAAAGTTGTCTTCTTCAAAGCATCCTTTCACAGGATCCTCCCTGCATCTCACCCCCGTGGCTGCTTACAAAGTGGGCTGTACTCAGTCTTCCCGAACCCTTACACACCAGAGGCTCATGATGGGGGCTGGGGGGGAGTGGTGGGAGTAGCTTGCTGGGGGGAGGGAGAGCATTTTACCGCATGTTTAGAATTGCCAGCACGCGGTGATGGTAAAAAGCAGACCAACTTTTAGTTATTGTCTTTCAGTTCTCTACAAAGACACACGCTCTTACTGCCGGCTAGCACTGGCGTGACCAATGAAAGAGGATGGCTGATATCAAGTGGCCAAGTCGTTCCGCCTAATTGGCCGCTGAGTGCCACTTTGTAATGGATGCTGTGAGCCAGAACGGGCCAGGCCTGCGTTTATTACCTGGCTTCCATTTGCTCCCCCAGTCTTACAGAGAGCCCTGGTAACACTTTGGGTCCCAAAGAATCAATTGCAACTCCGACCGTGTACTGAGCTTGCATTGAAATGTTAGAACATGTCCTTCCCCCAGTGAACAGTTAGTGACTCAAGTAAATGGCAATAGGTCGCTTTGGGGAAGGAGTGGGGAAGGACCCGGGGTGCTGTGGGGTCCTTTGGTGGCAGAGACGACGGCAACCTGGCCTCTTCCATCAGTTTTGGGTCTGAACACTGGCTCCTATCTGGGAAGCAGGCAACAGATTCTGACTTTTTAAACCGTCACAGTGGCCCCAGCCTCGGGGTCACCCATCCTGGATTGCTTTGGTTGTGTATATTGAGCAACATCCGTGGCACCCGTCTGTCCCGCCCCTAGGGATCTTGCCCTGTGTTCTGTAAGCCATCTGAAGTGTCTGGGCCCCGTGGCTACCACTCTAACCTTGCCTCTCATTACAACAATAACCAGGCTCCGTCTTGCTTTGACAAATAAGTGCTGTCTCCTGGCCTCTGTGATTTGGGGAGTCTACCATCTCCATTTCTGTAAGAGAACTCGGTTCCGTGGTAGCATCTCTTAACATCAGCTCTGGCCTGTGGAGGAGTCATTGCTGAGTGTCTCGGCGATGCTGGCGCGCCTTCTCTTCCTACCTTAGTGCTCTGGTAACAGTGCTCTCAGATCTGCCCACCAAATGCAGTCCTTGGTGAGTTTCCAGCTTTAGACAGTGTTTCCACTCTAGCGTGCCCACTTCCCTGAGCCTTTTGGTCCCTTCTCTCACTGTCTGCCACAGCATTTCCGACATTCCCACTTCCGTTAACATGACCCATCGCTTTTCCCAAGCTTCCAAGAACCATTCTAGCAGCACATCCGCACCGTCTCCCAGCTCCTGCCAATAAGTACTCGTGTGGCTCCTTTAGGGACCAGACTTTCCTCCCTCAGCTGCCCCTTACTTCCCCAGCCAGGCTATGTTAGGGCCCAATCCGGCTGGCACCATCTTGAAGTAAAAGGGGGTGCTGGCCTTTCACAGAGAGGGGTGGGTTACTTCTGTGGGCCCAGAGGGTCAAAGCGACCTAGAGATTCAATACTTAATCCACCCAGATGTCCCCATTGCATCTCTCAGGATGTCACTCTGCCCCACTCAAGACCCTGACCTTGGAGTAGCAGACCTGACAAAATTGAGAATTCGACCTCCGCAGGGACACTGCTACTCCGATCATTCAGATCTGGGCCTGGTCCTTGGCTTTGTTCTGCCATCTGGCTGTAGTCTTCACCCTTGGCCTTTAATTGGTGATTCATGCATTTAGCCTTTGTCTGTCTCCAGTGCCTTGATTGCTCCTGTCTACAACACCCCCATTCCGTCTTCCTTTTTTAAATTACTCTTCCCCCCCCCCCCTTAATTGGCAGATGCCTGACATATTACCTGGCCAGTGCATTTGTTTCCATTGGTGTGTTCCAGTTCTCCCGGAGGAATGTTGGAGAGCTGCATCATTACAGCACGCCAAGGGCAATCATGGTCCCCTCCATCAGCGATGGGACCTCACGGACAGTCTGGTGGAGGGTGATCAGTGCAGGTGTTCAAAATAGGTTTGGTGAATGGATGGCTCATAGGATATATGGCTATTGGGATGGATGGATGGAAGGATGGATGGACAGATGGAGTTCCACTAAATCCCACTTGGATAGCCTGAGAAATAGCTGGAAACCACCGTCATTTCCTAGCTAAGGATTTTCCTTCCAGAAGAGCACTGCATGATCAACGTGGATAGAAAACGCAATCCTGTGGGGACGTAGTGATAAATGAACAATCATTACCTAACTCTGAGACGACATCGAAACACATCTGAATTCTGACAAACTTCAGTTGGACTCAATGGTCAGTGGGAGGAACCAGAGGAGACCCTCCTTCCGATCTGAGGCCACCCGCCCCTCCAGCCCTGGAATCCAGTGATTCTGGGGATCTAGGTCACTTTCAGCACTGCCTCTCTGAGGATATTTCTGGAGCAATTACCAGGCAAAGCCCAAGGAAGAGAAGGGAAAGGGAGCGTGTCTTAACACCGGACACCTCTGGCATTGTTTTCAGGTCAATGCAGGATTACAGGGCCCTGTGTGTTCTTCCCCAGTCATTTGTCAAGTTGCCAGAGGAGCCGGAATGTCTGCAATTGTTAGGAAATCTTGCATTTGTGGAGATCGATACCCTTTTGTTCATTCAGCCTGCAGCATGGAGACAGCCTGGCAGGTATGAACGCAGGTAGGCCCCGTGGGTCCTCATCCTTCCTCCGGCTATCCATTACCACTTCAGCAGCCCGAAGAAGTGGGAGAATGTCTATTTCTGGCTTACGATGGTCATAGGCGTTGTTGCTAAAAATACGAGCTCCATCCAGAGTCCTGCTGTGTCCTGGGTCAAATTTGCCCCATCACCACTGGGAAGAGCCTGGAAAGTAGGAGGAAGGGAGAAGCCATCTTTTTTGTGATTCTAGGGGCGGCAGCAGCAACAAGGGCAGGGATAGCAATGACAAAAGCAATAATCTTGGTGGCAGCAGCAATGGCAGGAGCGAGGGAGGGCTCCCGGGCCCCTGCCCTGGCAGCCAGGTCCAGCAGCAGCCTCAGCAGACGTGGGCTCTGAGGACTCCGTGTTCCCTGGGCGCCCAGCTCGAGTGGCAGAGTGGCTCTAAAAGGACCAGGCTTTGAGTACCTCGGCCCCCTGTGTGCGCTTCCACTGTTCCAAGACCTTTGTTACCAATTTCCTGTGTCCAGTTCCCTCTGTTTAAAAACACTAGAGTTGTTTTTGCTTCCCAACTACACTAATGCTCCGCTCCTAAAATAGCCCCAAGAAACTGATTCAGAGACAGAGCTCTGGATTGGCTGTCTGAGCTGACTTCACGGCGGCGGGGGGCGGGGGGGGGGCGCGGGGCGCAGTGGGCAAGGGGCGGCCGGTGGTCCAGGGCATGCGGGGCACGTGGTCACTTCAGATATCACTGCTGGCTGCTTGGGATAAAGTGCACATAGAAGGCAAGGCTCAAGGAGACCAAGGGGAGGATGGAAAAGACTGTGCTGACGGGGATGATGAATATAAAGGCTCTGTTTGTGCAGCTGCTTCTGAACACACTGGTGCGTTCACAGAAGAAATAAAGACAAACCCAGGGCTTTAATGTCCCAGCAGATGTTGAGGTTCGAGAGCCACAAAGCTTCTACCACAGCAAACGGGAATCTCTTGTCCCTCACAGCCACAGAGCCACTCGAGCTAAAAAGGCAGATGTCACATCTGACCCTGCTGGTAGCAAAAATGATAATGACCAGACTCAGCGGGTTTCTCATGTGACCGATGCATCTACGATCAATCAGCCAATCAAGTGACTGTTCTAGGTCTTGGGTATCGAGGTGAACAAGCCTAAGAGCACTGCTGCCCTCAGCGAAGTCCCTGGGAAGAGCCACAGGAAAGGCATTCCAAGCGGTGGGAGCAGCCATGGACCAGGGATGGGCTTGGCTAGGACGGGTGAGGCCACGTCTATGAGGGCCCTGAGCCACTTGGTGCAAAAGTTTCAACGTGTGGAGAAAACAGGAAGCCATTGAAGTCTTCTTGGCTGGAGAAAGGTCTGATGAGTCCAAACAGGGGTAGCAAGTTGGATCGCAGGGGATGGTGATGGAGGGTGAAGGGTAGATACAATTTTTTTTTTAAAGGATAGAGCAGTTTACGGAGAGTGAAAAGGAAACAAATCATAAAAAAAACTTATCAAATTCAAAGTTGCCAATGAGAAAAAACAGTAAATCTCCAAGCTACGAACCAGCGATCTATGAGAATCCCATAAAAGGGAAAAGCCAGTTGCACCCTGCGCTTGTGGCTTCCCTGCTTGCTTCTGTGGCAGGGCCTGCCTTTCAGGAGGCGGCAGCATGGCCCGTGACCAGCAGGGAAACCTACATCCAATGAATAGCTGCTGCTTCTTTAAAGGGACTCGGGCATTTTTGCTGGCTCAGCTCAATTTTCTCCGCGCAGGAAACTTGTTTTTCATAGGCACACACACCCCTCTCCCTCTTTCCTCTCACGGAACTTCTGCTCAATTACCCCAGGAAAATGTCCCTCTCTTTTAGCTCCCTTTTCTTCCATTTGTGAGCCAAAGAAAAACAACCCTAATGATGAAAGATAGGTTTAAAGTGGTGCCAGGGATCCATCCATATGAAGGAAAAAAAAAAGGGTCCTACATTTGGAGGTGAGAGTCAGTGTCGTAAAGAACCAATAGCATCGAATGTAAAGGCCTGGGGAAAGGCCCAAATTTCCCTTCATCCTCTTCACTACAGTACCAATCCATATTTTCATCTCCCTTTCATTAACTCTATTTTCTACAGGCATTATCATTTAGCAAAAATGAAAACCTTTCTTGATCAAAGTTCTGGGATGAGAGATTCAATTACTTACATAAATGCTAATATTGCAGTGGAAATGCTTTCTTACTAATTTTTTCTCGCAAAGATACAATATGGCGTCGATATTACGAGTTTAAGTGGCCTTAGTGGGCAGCCTGGGTACCTAATTGCATTTATAATGGCATTTTTATGAGAAAACGCATTATATCTATAAACAAACAGATTTTCAAGCTGATTTCTGGAGATCTCGTGTTTGAAAGTTGAACACTGCTTAATTTAATAAAACATTCTAATGAGAAATACGAAGTTATGTAATATTTTAAATATAGTGCAAAATTCAACATGCATGTTTAATGCATGTGACTTCCATTTCTCACTATTTAATTGGTTTTTGGGAAGCAGCCAGTCCTTTATTTGTTGTCTTCAACTGTCATTATGAATTCTGCTAGCTCACCGAGTGATAAAAAGATGAGCTGGAGTTATGAGTTATGTATGGTGCATGAGCTTTCTAAATATATTTATTAATGCTCCTTAAATTATCCTCGGAGCTGGGTGCCTCTCTCAATTTAGAGCATCTTCTCTCTTGGCTGAGCAGCACGCTCTCACTTTTATTGTTCATATAGCCAGATGCAGCTGCATTTATTTACATTTTTTAAATGAATGAAATGCTTAACTTGTTGACATACTGGAGAGTCTAAAAATTCCCATTTCAAGTCATCCTCACAACCACATCCGTATGGGTGGCAGTTGAATTAGCCCCACTTTGTAGCGGAGTTGGTTTTCAAGAGAAATGGAGTGAAAATGAAGGGTTTTAGAGAGCCTTGCTGTTGGGTGACACGGAAGAAACTATTTTGGTTACATTTCAAGTCCCCATCTGAAATACCAACTCAAGGCCATGAGACAAAACCTCAGGAGCAAAACAGAATGAGGGTGCAGCTGTACTTCCTGTTAGACGTCAGGAACTTCTCCAGTAACCAGATTATCTTCCTTTGAACTTCTGACTTTGGTGAAGAAAAGATCAGAAATTCTGAAGTGATGATACATACTTCAAGGCCAGCCTCTCAGTGCACCCCACTGTATGATCTGAATGGTATTCATTCATTCACTAACATACATCGGGAACCCACTGTGTGTGGGGCCCTGTGTGATGGAGACACAGGGATACAGACGTGAATTAAACTCAGAGGACACAGAGTTGAATAAAATTCAGTGGCTGCCCTGGAGAAGCTCGTGGTCTGGAGGGCAAGCAATTAGCTAGAGTATAAAGCAAAGTGGGAAGATGGACGATAGCAGAGGAGAAAGCAGAAGAGTGTGGAAAGGTAAAGTGGGGGGGGGGGTGTCATTCCAACTAGGAGGCTCAGGGAAAGCTACACCCACAGGTGGATTTGAAGGGAAGGGAGGAAGATTCCACAGACAGTACAAGTGAAAACACAGAGGTCTGAAGGCAAGTTCAGGGAAGGCTGAGGAGTGCAGTGTGACAAGGATGGGTGCAAAGACAGGCACGATGGGTGATAAGGCCAGAAAGGTAGGCTGGGGCTAAATCTAGACGGTCTTAAAGCCACAACCAGGAATTGAACCGAACACTTCGGGGCAAGAAGGAGCCGCTGAAGATTTTAAGGGGGTAAAACTATCTCACCTGTTATAGGGAGATTACTCATGTAAGAATACAGAAAATGGGCTAGAAATATGTTAGGTCAAATCTACTGAAGCAGTACAGAGGAGCATTAGTAAGTACCTACTTAGAGTAGAACCAATGGATTGGGAAGGAAGTTCAAAGGAAGATTGGGGGGGTGGGGGGCTTGGCAATTGATTGTTTGGGTGCCAAGAGAATCTGGAATCTGGGGAGAATGGAAAACAAGCAACGGAAGATGACAGTGGTTTCCAGCCCAGTGACAACGAGGGTCGAAGTCCCAATAGCCATGACAGGTCAATATGGCAAGAGAAGACTACGGTGGAAAGCGAGGGGTCGGATTAAATGCGATCCGTTGTGGTGACTGCTGAGAGATGCATGTGACGATGTCCAGGAGGCCCCTGGAAGTCTGTGGTCGCCACAAGAAATTCAGCAGTGGGTATAGGCAGGACCCCCAGGAGGGGAACCTGAGCCAGAAGAGAAAAGAGAGGGAGGAAAAGCTCCATGTGGAGCGTGAGCAGAGAAGGAACCAGAAAGCCTCAGAGGTGAGAAGAGCCAGATGAGCGTCTGGGAGCTGAAGGAAGGAAGCCTGGGGAGACTGGGATTGGGAAACTCCCCCAATTGGAAGCCATTGAGATGCTGCTTGCTGTTGCTATGGCCACAGCAGACAAACGAGTCAGGGTCTCTCCCTAGGAATGGGAGGCGGTCCCCTGGCTCTCCTCCATATACCCATTCCTAAGAGACTCAGACGCATCTCCTCTTGGTGGGCAGTTACAATACCGAAAACTACCGCCTCCAGGAGACCCCCGTGGGGTGAACTAAGCAGAGAACAAATCCGGGAGTTTGGTAAAGCTGAAGTGGCAAACTTTTTCCTCTCAGTTCATGTGTCTGATTTCTCTTCTTAGGCCCTACTTTTGTAACCTGGGTCCTCTGCCTTTCGTTGAAGAAATAAAGTCCCTTTCGCTTGTTATGGGTGGAACTGGCAATGCGTCGCCACACAATCCATCGGGCTGGCTGACACTGTGCAGGCATCTCCCTGTGGCCCACGCGACGTGGCTGCTATTGGAACTGTCGCCACACGCTTTATACGTGTTCTGCACCCTGCTGTCCAGCTAAAGAGCATTTGCCCAAATTTGATTCATTTGCTTCTCACCAAACCCTGGAAGAAGCTACTATTTTGCTCCCCCTGATTCTCACACTCAGATCAGTTCCTTGCACTGATCTCTCTCTTGGGGTTTGATGCAGCTCACCTTCCCAAGTCTTGCTCCAGCTCACGCTCTCCATTGACCGGAAGCGGGCTCACCTCCGCATTTCCTTCGCGCATGGGACTTGCCTCATCCCTAAGCCGGTATTTTCCTTTTGGCAACTCTGGCCTCTGATTTAACAAGACCCCTACTGTCTGTCCCACTCCTCTCCCTCCATCTCTGCCCCATCATCCTCGA